TTTCCCGATAAAAAGGATTAGTGGGGGTTAGAGTGAGGTCCGAACAAGCCCAAAACTTGGCCCATCAAGGTAGATTACATTCCTTTAATGTTATGGGCAGCCCAACAAGAGCTGGACACCAAAACCGGCCCAAGCCCCATCTCTGTTTTTCTGCCTTTTTTTTTTTTTTTTACGCGTAACAAAAACAATTAACTCATTGTCCCTTCCAATGTATTTTACAGTAAGTTCCCAAGATCATGGAATCACTGAAAAAAAAATAAAAACGATTAACTACTGAAAATTCTTGAAGGGAGAGATGGAATCAATGGAAGTTATCTTAGCAGAAAGTATGAGCCGAAAGGTCAATACCTTTGTAAAAAATTTTACATGTATTAAAAAGACGTTTACCAGAAATAAAGACCAAAGCAGAAAAAAAAAGTGGGGGGTCAATTGTGACATTGGTTGCCCACAATTAAAATTTCTACCAATATACCAAGCAAACACCAATCTCCATCTTTTTTGGCTTTAGCTTTTGTTGATATTGCAGCAAAGCTTCTACCTCATGCAAAGGATTAGCCACTTCCACCCTTCAGTGTGTTACTCAACCTACAAGAATATGGATTACAATTGCATTATGAGTTGAAAGACAACCAATTTAATAAAGGAAACAATTAATTGCTACTCATGCCTCGTGGTATGACAGTTCATGGATTGTTCCAAGAAAACCAAATTACGCCCAAGACAGCAAGAATTCATTCATCAGGCTCTATTAACTCATGGCATGCATATTTTTCATGGACACTGAAGATTGCATTAAGTAACTTTGGATTTTGGAGAACAAGTATTGGAGATAGATGATGGTATAGATTCAGATTGGAACTCAAAAATACTACCTAATGTTGAAAAGTGCACACAACATAAGGACTAGGAGAACTTTGAGGTTCTTGTTAATTGATTCAGCAAGCCAAACATTTTATTTTTTTAATGGAAAATGCTATAAACTTGAGAGATTTACCAATCCAAGCCCTCGAAGATGCCTTCTCCTTTTATTGCAGAAGTTTTAAAAATAGCCCACTGGCGATTTTTTATCTTGTGCAACTCTAGAGCCTCAGTCACTGCAGCATCATCAAGTGCACCAGGAAGATCCTGTATTGACCATGGATATATGAAATTAAGATATTTAGATACCAAAAACAGAGATTTAATTGAGACCTTTCACTTTAAATTTTGATGTCTGAGCTCTCAATTCCTTAACTTTATACAACAGTCAAAGAATATATTAGTTGGCACCTTCAAGATTGGGACCTTTCACTTTTTAATCAAAGAATAAAAATGTTTCTCTCTCTCTCTCTCTCTCTCGTCCTCTAAAGGCATGGCCAAATGTCACCCCAGTGTCACAAATAAATATGGAGAGCATCAATTCACCCTCAACCACAAGAAGAAAAAGAAGATAGTACCAACCTGCTTGTTTGCATAAATAAGAATGACCGCTCCTTTTAACTCTTCCTCCTGCCAAAAAGCTCAAGCATCAGCAGATTACCTCACAAGAAGTAAATATCAATATACACAAGAACTGATGTTTCCCCCAAAAGCATCAAATAGAAAAGACATATGCATTGAGATTGAGCAATAAGAATGCCAAGGACAACGGTTTGACAACAGAGAGATGAATTCATTTTCACTGATGGTAATTAACCCTAAGGCCTCCAGAAGGATCCTTGTTTCTTATTCACAACCACAGCA